TCATGTCAATCGAGATCTTCATGGTCAACGTTCTCATCTTGAATTTCATCGTCCTTTTCAACTTGTGTCCAACATCAACCTCATCCTCATCTTCATAGTCGTATCCATCCCAATTAAATTATTCATCTTCAATCTCATATTCTTTTTCTTCATCTCATCATCAGCCTAGCTTGCCATATCCTTAGTCATATCCTTAAACTACTGTTTTGATTTTGAATTATATATATATTTATCATTTTGTGCAAACTTCTCCAACTAAATTTCAAATTATCAAGAAATTAGTTTAATTAGCGGATTATTTCACTTCTCTGCATTGTTCTGTCATAGTGTTCTATTCATGCACGTTTCTTGCAATTGTCAACTAGTTCATTTTTCTTCTGCAAATATAAGGAAGTTCGAATCCACACGAACCGTCCAACCACTTATGGTTCAAACCAGTCTCCAATGAGAACAAAACGCAGTCTGGAGATTTGAATCCGTCTTTTGGGTACCCAGTTCTCCAGTGCGTGAATGACAAAGGGGACCCGTCACTAAAGAGGAATGTATTTTCTTGGGAGAGATCGTTCAATCCTGTCCATACAGCATCRAGTTTCTCAAATCGACCTGTGTGGCAAATTTTAGATTAATCAATTAAGAATGTAGACTAACTGGCCTGCAAAGAAAAGCTCATTTTTCTAATCAAATCCATTTCACATCTTGTCAGAAACGTTTAAAAGTGCACGCAGCGATTCGTTATTTTGTATACTAATAATGTATCAATTTATACCTATTCGCTTCTGTACTCTCTTGGTTGTTGTAGCTGGCCAAGCGAAAACACTCAGCTCTCTTATATAAGCGTGAAGCACTTTACTCTCGTTTCTGTCCAGTCCTATATCATATTGATGGTTTGTAGGCATAAGACTTGCGAACTCCATGTTGAAAACATTGCTTGCCTCTTCCTTTCCATCGATGAAAATGGTCGTGATCCTTTCAACATATGACCATGAAGCAAGGACATGGGTCCAGGCATCGAAAGGGAGTGATCTTTTGAATAATGAAATTTGGATGATTATTCAGCGATTATTACACAAACACATGTCTGATTAATTACTTTAATTGTGTGAATGGTAAATCATGATAATCTACCTCTTGGCCGTTAACGTTGTGGTATTTGTAGAATCAAACATCAATTTGAAGTGGACTTTTCCCTCCTTGTCGATCTTTAAGGCGAATTGGTAAGGTGCAGACCAGTCCCCGTAGACCAAGCCCTCAGAAGCAGGTGTTAATAGTTTGACCCAGGCTCCGATAGTGAAACCTCGCTGTATAAGTTTCATTTGTTTTGTGGTTGCATAGTTCTGACTGTTTCCATCAAGGTACAGGGCTTTGTATCCATCGACATCCTTTATTACAGCATCTCCGTGGAGGCTGGGGAGAACCAAAATATATACAAGAAACTGACAATCAATACGCCACCCCCAGAGAGAGAATAATGTATCCATCGACACTTGAAAGTAGCCGCTCCATAAGATTTTGTGAGAGTTGTTCAAGATAAAAACAAATTTGATTGTCAAGTCAAGTAGTAAATCAGTTAATCAAAAAACAACAACAACAAAACAATCAAATAAACAGTAAATATCTACCTTAAAGCAACGTCTGAGATTCCATCCAGTTTCCAAAGCATTATTAACAAGGTATTCGAAGAATTTCCTGATGAAATAAGATATATACAAACACAGATATTTAAAGATCATTGAATTCATTAAAAAAGACAGCGGGAAAGGAAAGTAAGAAAAAAAGGAAAAACTCCAAACAATTCAACGAATGCTGAAAAGAGTCTTCAACAGGCATGGAGTACTTTAAAAAAAAAATAAATTCAACATCCATATTCTTATAATCACTGACCTCTTGACGCATTATTGAGAAGTTTGTTTGATATGAAGTCCTGCTCCTGTTGACTATGAATTGATACCAGGTCTCCATTGTGTGCTCGACAATTGTGCCTGGCTTCTCCCCAGGTCACTCGGTTTTCAAACAGTCGAAATTGAGAAGAGTTAAATATCTTCCAATCCTTTGATCCAAGACATATTTCTGTGCTGCAACCGTTTCTTGACTAGAAATAGCAAATGCAAGAAGTTATTTATGTGTAAAAACTTTAAGGCAATACGTCGGAAATTAGAATATTTGTTCAATCATAATGAGTATATTTACCGTGAGTTCATAATGATCGTAACCTGCCCTCGATATCATTGATCCAGGATCGGCTGACTTCGTTGAGTCGTTCAAGTCGCACATATCTTTTCCATTGGAATCTTTGTAAATATTTACAGACCGACATCCAAAAAGATCTGCGCATGCCATTGAACAATCCATCCGATTGGCTGCGATGGTTTTGATCACGTGACCATTTAGAGTCTCGCTCTGATGCTTTAAGAAGTTTCCAAGTGGCATTAGCTGTGAGTAAACTATCTTCAGTGATAACGAGGCCAAAATCACAAACTCGCCAACGATATTCATTTCCTATAGGAAGACATTTAATCGTTTACAAAATCAGTGATGTTTATTCATTACTAGTTATCTCCAGCATTGGTCGCGCGTTAGCTGCTTAACAACATGCTCCTCGCTGGATTAACATGAAAAATTCATTGCTTGAGACGCATGTGCTAGTCTACGTACAAAACGATGCTTCGATTTTATATATAGATTATAACCAAACGCAAAAATGGGAAAGTTCCCAGGGTCATGCAGTTTCGATCTACCTTTAGAAAAATCATGAACTGCATCGATTAATGAGACAACCTACAGAATCTTCTCGACAAAATATTAACATATTAACATATTAATCCATGGCGTGAAATGAAAAGTGAATTTATGCTTTTGTGAAACGTGAAGCTTCGGAAAAGAGAGTGAAATAGTTCCTCTGGAACCAGGGTAAATAATTAGCCATGCATTTTCGACAAAATAAATAGGCTCAAACGTTCATAAAAAAAACATAGGCTCAAACGTTCATAAAGGATGAGATCTCAACGTATAGCATTGACACGCGTTCTATTACAATGTCTTGCTATTTCTGCTTTTGCGTATAAAATGCAGTCTTGAGTTCATTCTGAAGTCCATGACCAAATACATTGTAATGGTAGATACGATCACGCCTAATGATCACGCCTAATGACGCTTCAAAATTGGTAGTAATTAGTTAAAAGTCAGTCATACTAGTATGAGTTCTTCATTATTACAATACCTTTATGCCTGTATACTTAAATCTTCGGAACAGACGTGATAGTATTAAGAGTCCGCGTATCTTTCCCAGAACTTTGATAAAAAGCTTTCTTTGAAGGACTCAATTCAACGGACTCGAAAAAAGTGTTAGACAAAGGAATCTTGAGATTTTGGCACAAGACAAAGACCAAAATATAATTAAAAATTATTAAATTTGTGCCTGTGGTGTTTTATAGGCAAAAACGTGACGTAAGGYA